AGCAGCCATTAAATACCACAAAGAGGAGACAGCAGTTCACTAGATAATGAGTTTAAAGCGACATTATGTGTACACAATCTTCTTACAAACTAAATGTTGAATTCATGAGCAATTAAAGGCACCATTGCTCTGTTCAATATACACTGCAGGGTTTATGTCCTACAGCCTTGCTTGGTCTGGTATGACCATTAGCTTACGGTGGCTAATGTTAGCTTATGTTAGCAAAAATATGATAGAGATTCTTGTGTGGCTGACATTTCTGAGTCTGTTTGTTGACTCTTCTTTACTTGTGCTACTGTTGTACTGTTGTTATGTTACAGAAGGAAGTTTCAATGATTTTATCACAACAGTAAAACAACAAGTAAACATATTCATTCACCAACTGATGGCACATTTAAACCTTCAAACTAAGCACATCCCGTTCACAAGAAAAGAAAAAAAGATTTTAGTTTTTATTTGAATGCAATATTTGAGCATCAAAATTTACTTTTTCTTTCACATTGAGCAACAGCGGGACTTGTATACAAACACACTTTTAACCCCTACAACCGTAATGCACCCCTGACATTTGACATATTGATTTACTATCTCATCACATATGTTCCATCATAGAGTCAAAATGTATGACCTTAGACAGTCAATTTCATTTTCAACACTCAAACTTGACATGCCTTAAAAAACGAACTCGAGTGTCGCCCACATCCTCCAACTAAACTAATGGTTCCAGAATAATTGAAATGCTCGCTGGTGCTTCAGTTCACAAACTTTGTCTTTACCTACCGCCATTGTCTCATGAGTGCCTGAGCGGTACTGAGCATGTGCAACTCTCAACAGAGATGAGGGCTAGTGAGTTGGTAAATTTACTAGCCTGATGTGGCATTTTACTGGGAAATTCTTATTGATGAACCCTGAATTGAATTAAATACATAGTTTTTTAATTTAATGGCGAGGCAGGCTCCTGAGCAGGCTCTTTGAATATATGCTAGTTTATGTCCCATGCTATAACCTGTATGACTTGTGTCTCTTTTTGCCATGGAATGACCACATTTTGAACAATATGTAATCAACAGCAGCTTCAACCTCAAAATGTCTTTATCAAGGCCAGTTGTCATGAGAGCCACCCACTAGGTGAGACATGGAGGGCTGAGGAATGTGTGAGCTGGTGTCTGGGGGTGGATGCAGGCTGGAGCTTGGAGCTCTGGGAACCAGGCATTCCTCCACAAACTCACAGTTGTCTGGAAGTATCACCCCCTCCTCTTTGATAGACACTGAGTCTGCAGGACTTGGACTCTGCACTAAAGCTGTGAAAACTCACATGTATGGGATTAACACTGGCCTAATGTAACCCACCTACTGTAAGGCTTTATTGCTTTACTTTGTCTTGCTTATATATGTATTTCTTTTCAGACAATATATGGATACATAAAATAGTGTTTATTGTTGTTTTTTCTACTACATACAGGAAAGCAGAGGGAGTTGGTGCTATTTAAAATCTGTACATAAAGCTGACATTAGTTATGAATCATTGAAGGAAAGTTTGTGTCTGTGTGCACAGATGGCTATTAAATATGACTACACCACTTTGCAGGAGGTGTTTAGCCAACATGGCTTAGCTAAGCTTTGTGTGTTTGTGTTTATCACGTTGTTGGTGGTTTCAGACTTGTGATTTGGCTTTTCTCTTGCCCTGGTGACACAGCAGGGCTCACAGAGGCTGTTTCAACTGTTAACAGATCTGCTTTCCTTGGACCAAAACCGTGTATTTCATGATGAGGTGGAGTAGGACACTCCTGAAACAATACATTAACATTTAGTTGACACACTTCCAGAACGGAGTCCGTAAACCCACATTAATTATTTCTAACCATGGAAACAGCTCAGATATGCATCCATAGTAAACTGTAGTTTTGGGTTTGAGAAGCTTCTCTAAGCAGCAGATGATTGAATGTTGCCATGGAGCTCTGTCACATCACCCTCGTATCCTCCCAGAGGATGGGGGTTTGTTGTTGTGGTGGTGACATGGAGAAAGGGGGTGTCACTGGCTGTATAAGGCCAGTATTTGTTCATCTGTCTTTTCGTCAAGCTGTCCTGGCTTCAATGTGTGCCTCATTTGAAGGTTTGAGCTGTTACTTCTCACAGTGTCCACCATGAGAGTGAGTAAACCCAGACTTTTATTCTTTATTCCAGAGTAGAAGTGAATTTTTGATGCCAGGTTTTAGGTTATTGGTTGGGAAATGTCTTTGTATAGGCTCCTGAAGATGATTTATAAAAGAGAAGCTATTTGTTATATTTTGGGAAATATTTCTTCGTCATTCACCAGGGCGAACCAGAAAGGCCTATATTTGCATAGCCTCATTGAACTATTGTGGAATTATGTGGTTCAAGCCCAACTCCTAGTGTTTCCAACTGGGACATTGGAGCTTGGCATAAAAGGTTTGGATTAACACACTGATGTGTTGCACCACTTTTTTCCAGCTCTGAGACCCCTAAGGGACCTGCTAATGATATCTAACAGAGAGACCTAGAGACTTATAAACTAAAGGATTTTTAGTTAGCAACAACCTTGGAACATAAAAAATTCCTCTGGCATTTCAAAGACCCACACCAGAAAACATGAAATATGGGATTCACGCAAATCTGTCAACATGCAGTTGATTAGGAGCATAATTTCAGCGCAGCTTGCATATGTCGGGTGTCAAATTTGATGCTGCGTCAAGTTGATTTATGTTGAGGCCAAACACATTTAGGTATGAAATCTTCATGTGATCCTGCTCCTCATCCATCACACAGGTTTAGTAGCTTAAAGGCTGTCTTGCAATCAAATGAGACAATAAAGCGCTGGCTCTCAATTAAGATTCCTTGACAAAAACGAGACAGTTTGGAGAACTCTGAGTGGTGTAATCAGTGTATACGTTCAAGCAGATGTTGAGTGGGAGGACTCATGAGTAGTTGTAGACTTGCCAGTAAATGTTTGAACTCTTCTCTCGTGAATATATAGCACTGTTCCACAGCCCAAAGAGGTCCTTTACTCCCACCCACTCGGTTGAAAGCTACCCGGCCCCAGATTACAGGTTGAAGCTAATGGTGGGGCTGTAGCTCCTAATCATGCAGATGCTCCACTCAGTGGGAAAACCGAGGGAGAAGGTACACCAGGGCTTTTATTTGTGGGTGAGAACAGTTTTGCTGCCAAAGTGTTCCTACGCCACAAGAGCATAGAGTCACACAGTGCGTCTTTGGCTCCAGAAGAGCTAATTCTGATAATGATCTAATTCTTTTGCTTTGAATTGCCAGCTGTGTGAGCAGTCAGCTTGTTTAAATCTGCCTGTTTATTACCAAAGAAATAACAAAAAAACACATTTATATTGGGTGAATAAGAGGCCATTGAAAACTCCACGAAAAACTAATAAATGTTCCTTGAGTTATGTTTTTTTTCTTAAACTACTGTTTCCAAAGTCAAGAATAACTTCTAGTTATGATCAACTAGTTATGATCTTCCATCATTCAATTCCTGTGGTGATCATTCGTGTCCGTGTTCATGCAGTTGACAGTTGACCTATAAAATCAATGTATAGTGTGAGCGTGGAGTACAGGAGCCGGTGGTGAATCTGGTGTATGTGCCTTTAACGCTCACAGCGCACAGAGACGCTGTGTCTGCAGCAGAGGGGTAGAGCAGCAGCAGACAGCAGCTGACGTGGAGAGTTCAGAGGTCACCCTGTTGGCCTGGTCTGCCAGAGCCCCCATAATGTAGGTGGGCTGACCCCTCATAGTGACAGCTGGACAACCAGTCACTGAGTCTGCCTCCTATGCATGCAGCACCCGGGGGAGAGGGCAGTGTGGGCTGGCTATGTTGTTTCGGGGATAAGAGAAGTTGTGACAAACTCCATGTCTGCTCTCACTGAAACTGAGGCTGGGTGGTAAATATATCCTGTAAATGAGACTTTACTGAAGTGTCAGATCACAGATTAGGTTTCATACTGATAATAGTGCTACTGTGGTTATCAACCAGTCAGTTCATTTGGAAATTCTTCCCCTGTTACAAGGCAGTCTGTAACATCTGCAGTTGACTTTACCTTTCTGTTCTGTGTTAGTTGAATTGTTCCATAAAGTATTTGGAATTGATTTGAATTGAATTATTGATTTGAATTTGAATAAAGTAATCACATCAGTCTATATGGGTGAATGTGATTACTGCTGCACTGTTGCATTTTTCCAGTTGTCAAATATGTTAGTGTGGTGTTCATTTTCATTTCTGGCATTAAAGTGTTGGGTAGGAGATGAGAGTGCATCTTACCCCTGCTCTATCTGTCTGTCTCTGTAGCGCTTCATTCTTTTGGAGCTGTCTTAAGGGCTCAGATGCTTTGTGAATAACTTTTATCTTCACCAGGATCTTGTCTCAGCTGTAAGGGGAAATTCTTAGAAAATGCCATAAGCTAATTCTAAGAATTTCCTTAGAATTTTGTCACTAGCAGTAACTCTTTGTACTCTGAAGCCTTATGAATACGACCCCTGTTTCAGGAAAAATATCACCCACCAGTAGCTTCAGTCCATCCAGCATTAGTCCCATCTCCCATCAGTCTGGTAGGATATTTGGGAGATGGCAGTGAGATAGTTTGAAATATATAATACAGGATACAACTTTCAGGCCAGCTCTTCATCTTCAGATTGTCATCAGTTGCCGGCTCAGCCCCATAAACCAGCACACAGACAGGAAATGACATAGCGAGGACTAGCAGGGCTGGATGTAATCTGATATCAGTGTGTTGAAATACAAAGCTAATATTGTCCCTTTATTAAAAATTGGATACAGCTAGTCAGTCAGATGTTTACTATTTTAGTTTTGTTCAAGCATAGGCTCAGGTTTAAATCAGTATGTGTAAGAGTCTGAAGATGGGCTTTAGACCCAATATTTGTTTCTACGGTTAAAAGCTCAAAGGGAAAAGGTGAGAAAAAGAGATGTGTCAAACCCTAATCTAATGTCCCCCCTTGTTTGTATCTGTCCTTAGGAGAGACAGCGACTAGAGACCATCCTGAACCTCTGTGCCGAATACAACAAAGGAGAAAGCACCGGCCTGGAGCCCCTGGGCTCAGGGAGGACAGGGTTTCCCGGGGGGCTGTCGGACAGCATGGGGCGGAGGCCGTCCATGGAGAATGCCCACGGAGGGACACCGTCCTCCGCAACGCTCCGCCTGCTGCAGAGACAGAGGGAGAGCGACGAGGAGAACCTGAAGGAGGAGTGTAGTAGTACAGAGAGCACACATCAGGAGGTGAGGACATCTCCTGCTCTCAGCACAGCATCAGCACTGCACAATGGAGACAGACAGGTCAGAGGGAATGCTTCTTTCCCAGCAAAGACGCTCTCTGCATGCCACTGTGGAAGCAGCATGTGCTAATGATGTGCTTTGCTTTGCTCAATCAGTGGTTCTGATCCTGAAGGAAGTTTCTGAATTTGTTTACTGGTCATCAGCCATATTGGCCAATGCGTCCTAATGCCTGTTCATATCATATCAGCTTTATCCTCTCACCATTATTACCTCCCCTCATACAGTTCAGGGCAGCAGTTGCTCAATGAGGTCCAGATTTATGCAGGTTTTCATTCTGAACATAGTGTTCACTTCCATGGTTCTATGTTTGCACAAAATGTTCTTCCTGATATCTCTTAGACAGAACACTACTCAAGATCAACACGGAACAAAAATGTCAGATTTTTCACATTTCATTAAGGCACTGGTTCCCAACCTGGGGGTCCTGACCCCCACTACGAGACGCCAACACTGCATAGGTGGTCAAGAGGCCCTCTTGATTTTAAGGGTCAAAGTTTAGAATATTAAAATTATCAACAGCCTCATCCTGCGTTAAAAAGGTTAAAACAACCGTTAAACAACAGCTAATAGAACAATGAGAAGGAAACACTTAATTTGTCAAAACAATAAGCCTATTAGGTATGTATGATTGTTAAACATTAAATAAATACATAATACAGACAGAGAATTGTATAAAGAGTTTCTAAAATTCCTAAAATATCTGGAAAACTGATCCCAGATACATTCATCCAAATCACTGGTTTTACACAGACATCCTGCAGTCATTGTGCTCACACTGATAGTTGTTCTGTGCTGTTATTGTTAAGCTTTTAATATGATATTAAATAGCCATAAAATATGTCACTTAGTCAGTTTACTGAATGATAGAAAGGAGCTCCCTTAAGGAGAAAGATGGGGAAAGTTTTCTGTTTTTTACCACAGACTGCAGGACTGTTTGGACATAATACATTACACAATGAATCATGTTCCAAGTCACCACCTGATGGATCTTCTGTAAGCAGCTTCACTGCCTGAATCTTAAACTGTCCTTCGCTCTTACACCCAAGTAATGAAGTACAAAAGAAGGCACAGAGTGACTCCTTACATAATCTGCTTTCACAGTGCAGTGTTTGATTCAAATGAAAACCAAACAGAAATCAGAGAAATTCTCCACGTATTGACTCCTTCCATAAAATCCTATTAAACTGTGATGTTTGGAGATATGTGTTTTTTGGGAGTTTTAGTTTCACATGGATGCATGGGATGTGAACATGATGCATGTTATGCAATGTTGAACTCGTATGTCCTACATATCAGTGACTCTGCATGGCTGAAAAAAGAGTTGTGCAATGTGTTAAATGTGTGCTCTTAGCCTAAAAAACATGAAGCTGCATGGCCCCTGCATGATTCTCATTTATCAATCCTTCCTGTCCATTTCCTCTCTCTCTCTCTC